TACCTCGACCTTTCTATGATTGATTGTGAACTAGTTTGAAAACCATTCATATATCTGTAACATTTGTTGGGATATAATATAGAAAGCTATTCAGGCTTGTTTCAGCAGGCTGCCTTATTTTCATGTATTCTCGGGGGCGAAGTCAGAAGCGTAAATTTTGACACGAAATTGTGCATGGAAGGGCGAGATCTGCTCACCAAACTCGCGCAAACTGGCGACCTTACTAGGGGGTCCGGGGGTATGCCCCCCTTAAAAATGTTGAAATCTGGGCCCTCTGAAACGCTATTTCTTGCATTTTGAGGGGCAAATTTTTCTGACACAAAGGATTTCAGCTTGATTTTGGAGGGGCGACCCACCCTGTGCCGCCGCCACTGAGGGTAGCAATATTATTCCTACATGTACAACATATATAAAATCGGTTGCTCAGGAGTACTTTAAAGTGAAGTTTGTACTGTTTTCTTGACTTTGGAGGTTTTCACCGGCGTTCCACAACAGCTCGCGCAGAGCGAATATATATATATATATATATAACTATTTTTCACGAAATTCAGTAAACGTGTACGTGAGCGTTGGCATTTCGGAATTTAGAACAGTAGATGGCGTTTGTGTGTGTGTGTGTGGGGGGGGGGGGCTCTCATCTTTTCCATGTTAAAATCAGCCTTTTACCTCTCCTGTTTTCAAGTTTTTTCCCAAATTATGGTTATATTGTTGGACTTTACATTAATTTTAGTTTTTACTGTTTTTGGCTGCAAGCTGTCTAACTGTAGGAACCATATAGATCTTATTGCATACATGTTATGAATACCTTACTACATTGTACAGAATTATATTCCTGTTAACACATGTATTGCTTCGTGTTTAGCTCTTTCGATCTGAACAATGACGCATTGGCACAAATTCATTAAAGCGGGGTAGTCGTCACCTGCGCGTGCGTCAGATGGCCATAGCCATGTGCTATCCATGTGCTTTTGCGTTTTTAGCTCGTGTTGTTATCGTCGCTTGGGACTCAATTCCCGCGCGTGCGCAGGTGACGAGCCTCCCGCTTTAATATAAGTAGATATCGTGAAATATCGTTAGAGCATGTAATCAGTGCCATTGTGTAACTGTGTCACTGAGCTGACATGTTTCCAACATGCTATTTGTAACAAAGCTATTGTAATGACTCGCAGTTGAGTCGATGCATATATACAAGGCAGAATTTGAGAATGCAAGCAGCTCTCTGATTGGTCTGACTGTTTGGTGTTAGGGTTGGGGAGCCAATCAGATACAATATTAATTGATCTCTGATTGGTCTGACTGTTAGGTGTTAGGGTTTGATAGCCAATTAATAGGCACAAGTAGCTAATTCGCTGACAACTTTGGTTTTGACAAAGTAGATTTGACCAACACAAACAGTTTTGCACCTCATAAACCTATTTAACATATTGTTTTTTTTAGCAAACCAACATTTAAAAAGAT